AAGCACCGGGGCTCCGATTTAGGATGGGAATGGCAGAATTCCAGTGTCTCCTGGGAAGGTGCCGCTTTTGGAGTTGTTGCAATTAATATCAGGCTCAGCCAAGCAAGGTGGAGATGCTCTCCCAAACCGCTTGATTTTTCTTTTTTTTAAATTATTTTCTTTTTTTTTTTCCCCTCCTTCCTTGTAAATGAATTTAGCACTGGGGAAAGGTGTCGAAGTGACAGTCCTAGAAATACAAACCCTCAAGGAAAGCTGGTTGGGAGTCCCGTAGGCAACAACGATATACGTGAGCTCTGTATAAAGGCAACGATTTGCAGCAATTTTTGCACCCCTACCAGTGTAAATGACGCTGCATCGCTCCAGGCATCCCCTCTTCCTTCCATCGCTTTGCTGCTCTGCTGGAAAAAGGGCACAGGGATGTGATTTGACCCCAAAACCTCCGTCCTTGGGCCTTGCAGGTTAGCGCCGTGCCGGAGCCGGGTATTTCTCCCCAGGGCCATCGCTGTATTGCCAGCCCCAAACACTTAAACCCATAAACCAGGTGCCAAAAGTGGTGGGGCCAGCCTCCAAAATAACGAGTTTTCTTTGCAAATAATAAACGTGGGCTTCTTTTTATTTGCCTCTGGGGCTCGGTTGCGCTCAGGTCATGTTTGCAGGCGCTTTTGGAGACCAGGGCAAGAAAACTGCTGCTGAAGGAAGGTTTTTTTTAACTAACAGTGAAACCAGGAGGAAAGGTCCTGCTTGCAAAGTCCCTGCATTTGGCTCTTGCAAAGACCCCTCTGCAAAAACCTCCTGCTCTTTCCTTTTCCATTTCAGCCCATCCATGAGCTCGGAAAAGCTGCTGTGAGTCTAGCAAGGGTTAACGGTTCCACCAGCCTTTCCATCATTTCTCCTTCTTCATGCTCTGAAGAAACAAACAGAGGCGAATCCCACCCTTTCCCCAGAGACGCCTCTTTCTTGGCTTGCTCCAGAGAACATGCAAATAATCATTATTTGTCCTTTTTCTCTTTTCTTGTTGCAGCAGCAACTCGGGGAACCGAGTGACAGCACCAACAAGGAAAGCAATAAACTGAAAAATAAATAAGGAACTGATAAACCGGGGGTGGAAAGGAGATAAAAGCCCGACAATGTTCCCTTCTCCGAGGGGAGCGTTGAGGCTGCAAATGCTGATGAACCAAAGCAGCTGATGAAGGGTCTAGCAAAAGGCCCGACATGCTGCTCATTTGGGATTGTGAGCCAAATTCCCGAATTTTGCTTAATCTGGGAAAGCATTAGTTCCCCGAGCGGCGGAACGCCGCAATGCTTTCCCAGATTAAGCAAAATTCCTCGAGGAATCTGCAAGCAAAACAAAACAATTTGCTGAGATAACATCATTGTGGGATGGTGGCTCCTTCCCTGCACGTGCTCTGGCTCACCGGAGCCGCACGGCAAAGGGCTGCGCATCCCTATGGAGCGCACGGCACGAGGGGATTAGCTGGAAACCGAAGGAAAAACTCCCCAGGGCGACGGGAATAGGATCCTCGAAATTCCTCCGCGTTTCGGGCTTTTTTCAGAAATAAAAATACCCCAAAGAGCCTGAGAACGGGGCCGCTCGGCAGATGGTATTTCAGCCCCTTTGGGAAGCTTCCGAGCTTGGGAAGCCGACATGGGAATCCGATCCCGGGAGACCCGAGGGCTCGGGTAGCTTGGGAAATGCAGCCGGAGTCATGCCCGGCTCCGGGATTTGGCGGCGTTCCCGGCCGTGATCCTGCTGCACATTCAGCTGGGCCACCGAGCCCCTTCCCCTGGCTCCCAACATTCCCGCACTGAGTCCTCGCCGGGAATATCTCGCAGCGCGGATACGGGAATACGGGAACATCTCCCGCGGATACGGGATGGAGGCCGGGTGATATCCCAGCAATCCGTGTCTCTCCCGCGCTGCCTCTCTTGCTGGGCTCATGGACAATCCGTGTGGGCAAGTTCTTTATCTCGCAGCGCCGTTTTTTGCTCTCAAGAGCTTAAGAGCCTGTTTATGAGCACTAAAAATATTTACTCGGGGAGGAAGGGGACGGGAGGTCTGTTTGCTCTGCTATCGCTCGAGTGTTTTATAGGTCCCTGTCTTGGGAAGAGGCTTGTGGAGAAACATTGTGGTTTGGAGGGTACCGGCTTGGCCGGGAGCGCTCGTGGTTTCGGATCAAGGCTCTGGATGCTCCGACCCGAGCTCCGCGCGCTCGGGCGATGGGGTCCCCTCGCGCCACGGCCAGCTCTGCCCTTTCCATGTGTTTTTAAAGGACGTTTTGTTTGCGAGAAAGAAAGATACGGGGGCCAGGGGCACGTTCGGCGCCCGCAGAAAGGGGCATCTGTGCCCCGGGGCCGTCCGACCCTCCCGCTCCACACGGGCCGCATTGTGCCGGTCAATGGGATATTGTGCGGCCGGAGCGGGCACCCGGCTTGGGTTTCATCCCGGTTTTGTCACTTTTCCCCTTCTTTCCGTCACGGAAACCCTGGCAGGAGCAGCCCCAGAGCTCGGAAGCCGGGGGGGAAGCAGACGGGAGCAAGCGGCCCCGTGGGTCGGACGGCGGCAACGCCAACGCGTTGGTGTCAACGCTGCGCCCCGGCCAAATGTCAGCATTCATGTGGGGACAACAGCGGCTCTCGCTGTCCCGGGGATGTTCCCGGTCACCGTTCGGGTCCCGCTTTCCATCCCATTCCGAGCTTGGTGCCTGCCCTCACTCCGTCCCTTCTGCTCGGACCACATCTGACTTCCATCCCTCGCACGTCGGTAGGGCTGGGGAGAGCAAAACAACGTCTGCGCGGGCGGAAATAAGATTCCTGATACTGGAAAACTATTTATCAGCCCGGGCTCGGGGGCTATCTGTGGAATTCTCCAAGAAAAAATACAGTTTTCTCCAAGATCCCGGTAAAATCCCGTGCGCTTTTTGCACCATCTCTCCGCGCATTGACGTCAAGAGGGTGAAACCTCCCCGTGTGCCCAAGCGCGGTGGATTTTTTTGCCTCATCCCCTTTTTCTTTTCCAAGGGCTTGGATATAGTCGCATGGAGAAAAAAATATCCCACATCCAGGCGGCTGCCAGCTCTGCCTTGGAATATCGCTCTGGCTTCATGTTTGACTCGGATCCTGCAATCCAGACGGCTGATCCCGGGGCCAAACCTGGACGTCGCGAGGCCCTGCCAGGAAGCTCAGGTTTTCCTAAGGGCTGGAAAGAGGATCCTGCCTCCATCCTGGAGAG